GGCTGGATCTCCGTGGGTTCTGTTCGGTTCCCAGGTCCCCCGGAGCTGTTAAAGACTCCATGGGTTTGAAAATTGGGTATATAGGATAGGGATACGTCTAGGATTGCGCTCGGTGACGGGGAGAGGCTAGAAGCTAAACGGACCTCCGTTGCCTGCTTAAGAAAGGTGCGTTGGGTCCGCAAGGGTCCACATCGCTTGGAGATCTTCACACAGCGCAAAGTCTCCTCCTCCTGGTGAGTTCTGTATCTCTCCAGGTTTCCTCTCTCTCTGACTTGGGCAGAAACTACCCAAGCCTTTTGTACGGCTAGCAAGCCAATAGCTAGCCACCACGTATGCCTACATTTAGAACCGGCCAATAATGTGGCACGAATCTAAATACAAATGGCGGGAACTCCTTTGCACCGTGCATCACTATGATGCAAAAGAAATGCACCATGCAAAGAAGGCTACAAACGGCAGGAAATACTCTTTTGCACGCGGGTTCTCCTATTGCAGCAGAAAAAAACACTCTACCGTGCAAAAAAGCTGCAATTTGGCGGGAACATAATTTAGCGGTGCCGAAGCACACAAAAACAAAAAACCACAACTTTGGGTTGTGACAGGAAATAGGAACTTCAATGCCTAATATCACTAGACTCAACAATAATATTAGGATGTAAACATTAAAAAGTTTTATTGGGAAAGACTGGAATTGAAAAGAAAATTCTATTACACCAGTACTTTTAGCAAAATTATTTCAGAAAAAAAACAAATATATAAAACCACCCCACTTGATCAGACTACTATCTGTCCATTTTTTAGTTTCACTACACAGTGAAAACTCTGTACCACTATTACCTTGGGTAGAACACTACACTAATTAGGAAGAGGACATATTTGCCGAGGTGTAGTCATGCTAGTAAGGTTATGCAGCTTTTTGTACCCGAGCTAGGTCAAGTACTTACATAGCACTACATTCTGCCTGCAGTAACTTGCTTAAAAGCTTACTAGTTGAGCTTTTAAAAAGCCAACCCATAGAACCAGTTGAATAAAGAATTAGTATTTATTGGTCACTTTAAGAAAAACTAGAGACCATAAACTCAATATGAGAGAGATCGCTCACAAACTAATGAGGGGAAGAGGGAGGAAGCATGTGCAAACAAACAAACCAAACCAACCACACACACACACACACACACACACTCTAGGTATACTATACACAATTTGCTTATTTAGAAAGTTACTAAAAAAAGCATTTGAAGGAAACTAACATCCCAGTAGTGTTGCACTGTGTTGTGTAGACAAACCACATAAATGACAGAAATCTGGCAAGTTTGCTTCACTCCTAAAAATGTTAGCACAAGATGGTGTTGTCAAAATGCAGACTCAGTTTCTTTGACAGTGGCAAATCTTAGGAAGGCTTAAAGCTGAACCAGTGTCAGTTAGCAGAACAAAAGCTGAACATTAAGTATTTAGCCTTTGAAAATGAATAAATTAAGTTTTTCAATTAACATACAAACAGAAGGCAATAAGAATTATTGAAATTTGAATGCAGAGAATACTTTATTAACCAATTACAGTTTTGATGACTGATTTTAAAAACCATAGCTTGTGTGGGAAACAAGGGGGATGTTAAGGCTGAGCCATATATATTATAGACAAAAATCAGGATACTGATAATCTGTACATTTAACCTCTGCTTTTCTCTTTATACATCTTTTATTCGGTGTCGGAAATTATAAAATAAACAAACCCATAAGCTGGCCAATACTTAAAAAAATTATTCTTGAACGGAAGTTTAGCCAAAATTTTTGGATGCTGCATAAATCTCACATGAGATCAAATACATTTGCAGCCATATTCCAAATGAAGTATTAAAATTTTTACTTAATTTATTGCTGGTGCGCAAAATTATAACAAATGATTATCTTCCTTTCCAGCAAAACTAGTTCTCCCCCTAAGAAGTTAAATCTGTTTAAGATTGCATTAAACTCAACTAGAATAGTTTGGGATACCAATATAAATTAAGTGCCCATGCTGCATATCCATTTTCCAACTCTAGACAGCCTTTAAACAGTATATGATTAAGTGGACATACTTGCAATATTACAGAATTACATAGACTTTTCAACAAAATTCAGGAATTAGCTAATTCTTTGTCAAATTGCACTGTTAACAGTAGTCCAACACGGTGTGGTATTTTTCCCCATCTGTACAGCTCCCTTTTGTGAAGTTGGGCAACATACAAGATCAAGATAATTGTTTGTCCTTCTCTGAAAAAAGGAATTTCAGCTCCTTAGTTCCAGTCACTGAAGGAAGAGGCAGAGGCAAGTTTGAATTATCCCAGAAAAGAAACAGAATAAATGGCTTTATTTGGTGTCTTCAAGATGCTTCACCTTCTGTAGGGGACGTAGGTGTTGTAGGAGAGACCAGTTCAGGTTTTCGTGAAATTCTGTCTAATTCTGCCTGAACATCTGTTAAGACTGGCTTTTGGCCTATTAAAAAAAAAAAAAAAAAAAAAAAAAAAAAGAGAGTACATAGGAGTTAGGTTTAAAAACAGAAGGTACTTTTCCCACAACCACATTATTTCTTAAGACCATCCTTCAAATCAAACATTTAAGGTTTCCTTGCTTACTACAGCTCATTTGCCACTTTACTTATACACTTCAAATGTATTGCAACGGTACAAGACCAAGTCATCAGTAAGAAAACAGAAACCACCAGATTTAACTTTTATACTACAGACCCCTCCCCCCCCTCAAAAATCAGTTCCCCACCCCCAAATTGGGGTGCACGTCTTAAGAGGGGAAGCCAATTTCCTCACGTGGAAAAGCAGGAAGCTTGGAAGCAATGCATGCTACGCTGCTGTCTTGTGATAATCCTCTCAGCCAACAGCTGAACACCCGAGGCAGCAAGCAAGTTGCTGGTAGTGTCTTGGTGAGGCTTGTGGTGTGGAAACACTTATTTACAGGAATGTATAATAAAGAACTATTTACAACAGAAGAGTAACAAATTTTGCAACTGCCCGTGTAAGGTTTTAAGGCCTAACTTCATGGGACAGAGTATGTCCCCTGAGAACAGAGTCCAGGAAACATGGCATTCCAGGAGATGGCTTAGGTGAGGCAGCAGTGACTTCCTAGAAGTCCCACACCAGGAAGTTCCGGCTGCCTCGCCCAGACTGTCTCTTGGGATCCCATACTTCCTGGACACTAATGTTCCATAGGGACTTACTACTCTGTCACAAAGTCAGCAAGGACTTTGGAAAAAATTCCTACATTACACCTTCCCAAAACAAGTGTGCATGTGGTATGCGAGAAAAATATAGTACTGTAATCTGCACCTTCTGCCATGTTTCTCTAATAGGCTAGTACAGGCATAGGGAACTTTTTCCAGATGTAGGACACAATGACCTAGGATGGGCCAGAGGCAGGTACCCACAGACGAAGCCCCCCACTGCCAAAGCTCCACATCTGTAAGCTGAATCTAGCCCACAGGCTGTAGGCTGCCAACTCCAGGGACTAAAACTCACAATCTAGTTATTTGGGAGCTGGCTTAGAAATGTGTAGTGACCTTCACTGCAGGATCGGTGATACAATAGAGTTCATATATTAGTATGTTAGCATCATCTTCCATATCATCTGTGTTTAAAAAAAAACAAACTTAAACATGACTCATTATCAGAATGATTCATAATTCCCATCATTGCAAGGGCTTCTTCACACTTAAGTGTTATGCACACTTCTGGAGCTAAAGTAAAAATGATTTCATTCTGTTACATTAATATGTAGTTACAGCAAAATTAGTTCCACATACAGAGATACAAGAATAGACAGATTAAGAGCTTTCAGCTGAACGCAACCCACAAAATAATGGTCTAATTCATAACCACTACAATGGATGTCCCCCATCTTTAAAATGTAGCTACACAGACAGATCAAGATACATGCGCAGAGTAAAAAAAAACCAACCTGTTTTCTATACTAGTACTCACTCTCGAGTCAGAAGTGGATGAAACAATATTAACTGAAGAGCCACTATATGACTTGTGACATACAAATCAACCCAATTAAAAACCTCAGAAGCTACAGAATAAGGCACCACAATTGATAAAAGATAAATGCAAGTGTGTATTTATGATTGCAGGAAGATGTCCAATTTATGCAGTAAAAAAGTTAATTTTCTTGGAAGAGTGGAGATAAGATGTTAAAAGGCCACTTTTAGCTTCCTAATGGCTGCTGAAGAGCTGGGGAAGGGACAAGGTTCCCACACGCACTGCATCAGCTTGACATTGCCGACGCAGCGTGTGTGGGAAAAGGAGTAGCCACGTGCCTCTCGGGACAGGATGAGCCCAGCCGGAGCAGCAGGGGATCAGCTGTACTTTCCCCCTACCTGGGCTGGTCAGTCCCAAGCAGCACATGGCTCTGCTGTCACCTCTGCTGGCTGGTGCCAACCCAGGCAGGTCTGTCCCATCCAGAGCAGCATGCAGCTGAAGCCAGATTCCCATGTGCTGCTGGTTGGAACCAGCCAGCAGAAGCGGCGGTGGAGCCATGTGCCACTCGGGACTGACTGGCACAGGCAGGGGGAAAATGAAGCTGAGCCCCTGCCCCTCTGGCCAGGCTCATCCCATCCTGAGCAGCACATGGCTCCACCGCCGCTTCTGCTGGCTGGGTCAGCACCAGCCAGGAAAAAAGTGGCATGGGACAAGTGACGGGACGAGCCTGGCTGGAGCGGGAGGGGCTCAGCTGCATTTTCCCCCTGCCTGTGCCGGTCAGTCCTGAGCAGCACATGGTTCTGCCACTGCTTCTGCTGGCTGGTGCTGACCTGGCCGGCCTTCTCCCGTCCCCAGCACCACGTAGGAAGCCAGCTTCAGCTGCACGCTGCTTTTCCTGGCTGGTGCCAACCTGACTAGGCCCATCCCATCTGGGGCAGCATGTGGCTGAAGCTAGCTTCCCACATGCTTCTGGGGATGCCCAGCTGGGTTGGCACTGGCCAGCAGAAGCAGCGGTGGAGCCTCCTGCCTTTTGGGACCAGCTGGCGCAGGTAGGGGGAAAGTGCAGCAACATGTGGGGAAGCCACCGCTTGACAGGGGACAGGATGGGCTGGCCAGGCTGCACCAGGGAGGAAAAGCTGTGGCCGAGTCCCCTGCAGCTGTGCTGTATGCTCGTTTAAGACTGAACAATATGCTCAAGAACAGAGCATGAAAGATCTGGGCTCCAACATAAATTTGGAGCCGGTAAAAATCTTTGTAAAGATACTGTCCAGTGTTTGGATTGTTTGCTTCTGTTTCTCTGTGTGTGGGATTGGGGGTTCAACTTGTTAAAGATGTGTTACTAACAAGTTATTAATTCAATAAATCTTGAATATTATTCTCAAAAATGCCCGTATTTTGTTGCTTTGATTAGTTTCCACTCTGGCTGATATCTTTTCCACATTTGATCTGTTGACTTGCATTATGCTTCTTTCATTCATTGAGAAGTGAGTAGAAGTGAAAGTGTTTATTTTAGTCAAGTGTTTGGTATTATTTCATTGTTGCTTTTATATTGTTTTTATTTTGGATTTTAAACCACATTTCATTTTCACTTCCTGCAACTTCATTGGTGTCAAAGGTCACATGCCTTAATTCTTGCCTGTAAAATGCACTCCAAGTAGGACTTCCTGATGTGATGCCGCTTCCTGTGAGGTCTTTGAATATGGCTCACCGGCCCACTGGGTGATAAGTTCATGATCCAGCCCCACATTCAAAAAAGTTGGACACCCCTGGTGTAAAAGTTCTCAACTTCTATAAGGTTACATTGTATTTAGTTATCCCTTCTAACTGCCTGCTGGGAAATAAAAGAAAATAGCTGAGAACTAGAATGCTTTCAGAATAAAAACAAAGTACTTGGAGTGCATTCTACAGGCAAGAATTAAAAGACAGAAGGCACTGGAAAAAGACTACTAAGCCTGCATAACAGCCAATTTGGACACTAAAAGGATAAAGGAATAAGAGACCAAGGCAATAACTATTTGGAGACAGTCCATTGTTACACTGGCTTCTATCCTATCATAGATAGGTAGAGATAACGTATTCTCCTGTATTTCTGCCCTACTCCATAACCACACACCGTTCCAAATTTGATATCATTTTAGAAACTTTTCTCCTCTACAACCAAATTAGTAAGTCTTCCATTAAGCACATCTACCACTATTCAGCAAAGCTATGTAAAAGCTTACTGCAGAAAACACTTATCCCAAAACACAGTATTATGGACAGTAAAAGTTTTCTGAAGGCAAGATGTTTGCTGCTCTTAAATTTTTTATTACTAACGACCAGTAGCTTTGCATTTAGCTTGAAGACAACATTTAAAGGGTATACTGTACATATGTGCATAGGTCATGTTGTGAATTCGTACAAAAATGACTAGTAACAGATAAAACCGATAGTTTTACAGGCCCTGGCTGTAGTATACATTGCAAATCAATTCACATTATAGTAAAAATCTCATTTAAAAATTATAGAGCATATCATAGTGTATTCTTCATTAAAGTACTGTATTTCAATACCCAGTTTGCATGAGTGATTAAAGTGATGGTTTATCCTATAAGCCATTTATCATAGGGTAAAAATCACACAGATACAACTCCATCTTACACAGCTGGGTAACAGCATGAAATAATTTAATCCTCTTGAGAGAGGACCAATACTATCAGTTGTAAAGGAAATGCGCTTAAATCCAGCAAGTGATCACTTTAGCAAAACAGTTACAAATTCCAGTAACTGTTTTGCTCTAGTGACCACCTGCTGGATTTAAATGTTTGGGAATTTGTAACCAAGTCAAAGGCTAAGGGACACAGAACTTGTAAATTCAAGTTACACAAGCAGTCATTGCATTTTAAACAACTGCAGGCTAAAGGAAATTTAAGCCTTTCAGACAGTACTTTTCCCTGTTTAAGAAGCCTTACACTGTAATAAGCTATATGTAAATGTAGCTCTATCTTGTGGTATGCTTTCAAATGGAGTTGAAGTTGTTTGTTTTCCATGAAGATTTTAAAAGAAATGCTGTCAATTCCTTAAAGAGACATTTTGGATGTGAACAGTGAAACACTAACAAAACAACCCTCCTTTCCCATGCACACAGTAGGTCTTCATAAAAGCTAAATTTTTAGTAAAGAATTCACTTTTAAACTTAAAATTTCAAAGGATGATGGCAGAGCCAGCCAAAATCTTAAGTTTTAGTCCTACATACCAGTACTGTATTTGCGTCCAACACACCTTAACCTAGATTTTAGATATTACATCAAATATTCCACTATTTGGAACTATCAGAAATTTTGTATTACGAACAGAAACAAAGTTCTTAGAACAGTATTTTCCTCCCCTAAGGATTGCTGTAACCTTGTTAATGAACAGCAATAAAGGTTTCATATTAGTGCCATATTAGCTGTCAATATAATTGGGTACATTACAAAAGATTAAAATCCATTCTACAAAAGAAATAGAGCACTAAATTCAAATTGCACCCAAGTTATCTTGTATACTAACTCCAGAGAGAAACAGGCCAAGTACAGTAGAATCCATTATCTAAAATTTCCACAAAATTAAATATTTATGTGCAGGTTCCTCATCTGCATTTAGCTATGAAGCAATTTTTACAGTTACTCTTTAACATACCCTGTCGGGCATTGAGAGAGTCAACAGTTCCCATTTCATAATGTTTCTGGAAGATTCACTCTTCAGACCTTTCTTAAAAAAGATTTTACCATGCTCAAGACCTTTAGACTATAATGCTGTGACAAGTTATATACATACATATATATATAATTTAATATTCGGTAAAATGTAGCAAGATACATATACATACATTTTACCGAATATTAAATGCTAGAAGTAAAAAGGATTCTACAAAGTTGCAGATGATGCTTTATGAATAATCATACCTGATTTTTTTGCTGAGGCTGGTAAATTGCTGCCAGCAACTCCAGTACCCCCTCCTCCTCCAGGGCTACCACCACCAACGCCTGGACTTCCTGGAGAACCAGTTTTTTTACTCAATAAACTGTTGAAGAAGTTTGCAAGGACTCCTTCACTTGTGGCTCCAGCTACAGTAAGAAAAAACAAACAAGCTACATTCTCCAAAGAAATGCTGATTACACTAAGTCAGTACAATGAAGGGCAAAGATATTTTTGCCCGCTTACTTAAAAAATTCCACCTGCAATATCCCTGCCTACCAAAAAAATTACCTTTCATGTTAGGATCAATTTTTTTTGACCCAGTAGGAATAGGTGTAACGCTGGCAACATTGGATGTTACAGATCTGTTTGGGGTCCTAGGAGATCCTCCGGGAACTCTTGGCGAGGCATCCTAAGCCAAAGCACAAGATAAAATACTCAACTGCTGTTATATTCAATGTCTGTTATAGAAACTGAATTAATTATATTCCATTTTTTTACGGTATGTTATTTTTATACTGTAATACAATAGTGAAATGCTGCATATGCATATTTTTACAGACTTCATGTTACATGCTCTAAGCCCCTGGTACTCATTATATTTAAGATGCAATTAATCAGTTATAGTAACCCAGCTACATGTTCAGGTAATTAATGGTACAATAAAACAAGAAATAAGCCACAGAATTGTTCCACAAGTATGTGCAATAATTTTGACACATTCCCATAGCACCTTAAACTAAACATGTATAGCAGGGTTCCCCACTATGCTACATTGCAGGCCTCTGGGACAATATTTCAGTGCAGACCCGAAGCTGGGACCCATAATCAGCTGACTATCAGGTCTCAGTCACATAAGTTCACTAGACACCCAGCTTTGTTTGCTGGTGTAGGGGGAACCCAAGATCACTCTGCCAGGCTCCTCCTGCACTGGCAAGTAGTAACAGCACAACTTTGGCTCCCCCAAAATTACACATCCTACCACACATATGGTAGGAGAGGAAGTGTGACTGTTGGGATCAGGGAATAATAGATCCCATCACACCATTAAGTAAACACATGCTGGGGACATAGATGTACATGCCCTGTGGGTACATACATACATAGTTCCAAATGTTAATATTTCCATTAATGACCCTAGACCACAAATGGAAGCAGTACAGGTGTGATGCAGTTCCTCAGACTGGCATACAAAGGGAACACCTTGTCAGGTGTCAAGTCTCTGCACTGCCTGGATTAGGGGTGGCCAACCTGCAGTACGCATGCTACAGGGGATACTAGCAGCCTCTGTGTAGGGCACATGGCAAATTGGGAAGGGAACAGGTCGCGCAGTGGCAGGCAGGGCAGCAAACAAAGCAGAGAAGCACATCAGACAGAGGAAGGGGATAGCAGTGGCACTCAGGGAGGGCTCATTTATGGCACGCCTGTCAAAAGTGTGGCCTCCACTAGCCTAGATCATGGAGAAGCTACACCCAACTCTGCAGGCAAGTAAGTTGTCACAAAATGTGGGGAAAGTCATTAGAGAAGCAAACAGCAGGGGAAATGAACTCTAGGGAGAAAACGCGATTTTCATCGTCTTACAGAAGACCAGGGTAGTCACTCAAATTCAAGCTTAAAAAGGTTCTTAGAAGAGTGACATTAACTACAGAAATTCATCTAAAAATCTTGGTCAATACTTCTTTCTGTGTCTTTAGATGCACTCAGTCCCCGAATAAACTGAATAAGTCTTTTTAGAGCAATACAGAAGTCTGAATATTTATTTTAGTAAAACAAAACCCACAGATTGCTTAATATTTCATCATCCTATTAGCAAACTCAATGTCCCATTTATCTATTTTATAAAAAGAAAAAAAAGTTTTACTAACCACTGGCCTTCCAGCTGCAGTCGGTGGTTGTTTTGCTAGTTGAGACTGAAAAATAAGATCAGAGATATTATTAGTAAGCTTTTTAACTGTAACCAAGAGAAAACAATTAATAGACATTATTAGAAGGATAATTAGTTGCTTAGCCTAAAGCAGAAAGGCACATACATACCTGTTGCTTCATAAGAAACACTTGGTCATCTTCTGCTACTATTTCTTTCTCGTGAACAAACTGCAATATAAAAACATTCTAATATGTATGTGACGGAGAAATTAGGATACTATTCTGTAGGTATAAAGGGAGAGTATTTAACTCTTAATTGTATGACCAAGCGCAAAGAGGTGTAGTGGAATCAAAACATTGTCTTCAACCTAAAAACACTAGAAAGTATGTTATATCTTCACTTCTGCATTTATTTGACCAATGTTTTTATTAATTACAACTAAAGACGAGATGTGAGATGGGGAAAGTATAGTTAAATATTTAATATAAGATGGTCAGTTTATATTCAAAAGGTACTCTGAATGATTGCAAGACCCTTCAAAGACTGGAAGGTAGCAACCTAAGAAGTGTACGATTTAGATTTAAGAATCTCAAAAACACATGTCCAGAGATCAGGTATTACAGCTTGTGCCTCATCTTGATTCCAAAATTCTAACATTTTGGCTCAGGCATTTCTGTTATGTTGAATTTTGTAGCTGCACTGACAGACGGTTATGCTTTTTAATACATCACTCCCATTTGAAGCTTGGGCACAAAAGTTGACAATATTTCAGAAGCTACCTGGATAGCCAGTGTGATAAAACACATGAGCAGCAGCAGCAGCAACCATCATCATCATAAATAAAAATAAAAAGCAAATCCATATTCCACTGGATTTTTTTTTTATTAAAAAGAACCGACAGCTAACAGTGCAGCTGCTTCAGATATGCTGTCAAACCATTACAGCTGATCTTTCCTTTACATTTGTAGCTGAAATTCTTGAAATTATTTTAAAATTACTTTTTTGCACTCAAGAGAAAAACTAAAGCACTCCACACTTGTGATCCATCTCATTTTTGTAATAAAATCACAAGCTTCAGTAAAACAGAAAACCAATATCCCTGCATTCTACTACCTACCACCAACTACTATATGAAAGCAACCATTCTTTAATAGTGCACCCCCTTATATTGTAGGCATTTCATTCAGTTTGCTAGCTTTTGTAAAAGCTACTTTTGGAAATTCCACTTGAAAACTAACTTAAGATGCCAAATGTTCACTGGTACAAGGTACTCTGATTTTCAAGTGTACCTTTCAAGTAAAGCTCCCTGGGAGCTTTACTTTTGAGCATGGAAAAAATGTATAAAGGTTTAATCCTGTGCCACACTATGGGTCAACTGCACTGGAAATATCAGGCAATGACCATGAACACCTAAGAAGCAATTAAGTCAAGATTGTTTCCTTTATTGCAATATTCCCAATTAAAGTATTAAGTGAATACTAAGTGAAAGAATCCAAGGATAAATCAAATCTGAAACAACTTGTTATTTGCAGGTTCCACTTTGGAAGAGAAAGAAGCCCTATGCATTAAGTGAGTTTCCTAGGTACTCATTTTACTCTATCAATGCTATTAAAAGCAGACCAAGTCACCTGCTTGGTAGGAATAACAGCAATAAATCTGTTTACCTCAGGATATGAGTATTTGATTAAGCTATTGAGTTTACGCAGTTTGAGACTGGAAAAGTAACTGACATTTTGACCATGGCAGCTCTATTGAGTTCAGCTCTGGACACAAGTAGTTAGGCAATATTTTCTTTCCTCTTTCTATCTAGTGGAAAGAATAAAATGCGTCTTGGAAGATACTTTACCCGATTACAGTTTCATTTTTCAAGAGGCTTTCTTCCAAGATTGACCTCGGGTTCAGCCTTTAATTTTCAACAGGTATCTTTCCCCTGAAGAAAAGTACTGCTAGTCAGGATAAGAGGGAAAGATCCACAAAAAACTGCACTGGGTGAAAGAGAACTCTGCCTATTATGGGAGAAGCTGATGACTGAGGGGAGCAAACAGAAGACCTCACATCTTTTTTGGAGAGAGCTTTCATGATGGACCATGCATAAAGAAGTCTCACTTTACACTGTGTTCCAGACTTCAAAGTGAGAGTAAAGATCCTGTGGGTCAAGTGGTGCTTTATCGTCACATATGCATCACACAGAGGATAGTCTGCAGATTCAGTTTAAAGTATCTCCATAAGGACACACAACTTATCAGAAACAACCCAAATTCGTTTTGGTGCCATTTCCAAACTTGCTGTTGGAGTCAGCACCTGCTCTCAGACAGAGCAGAATAAGCTAGTTGAGGAAAGCATTATTACATGCAGAAACAGAACCTTCTTCCTCTATAAGTGTTGAACAGAAACAATACAAGGCAAACAGCTGGTGGCAAACTGTTAGCTTCCATTTATCCAGAAAATATCTAGAGAACTCACTGAAAAAAAAGGAGAGGCAACAGAATGGACAAAGTTTTGTCAATTGATGGAAAATAACCAACAGTGGGGAAAAGGAACGTTCTAGAGATTAGTTAAACTACTTCAGTGGGATTGCTAAGTATTTTTCTTTTAAATATACTGAAATAAAAGTTACCTTTCTGACAGGAGGCTTTGTTATTATATCTTCAAAACTGTCATCTGCTTTTAGTGTCTGAAAGTTCTCATGTAATATTCCTATCTTCTTGTCATTATCCCACCCTGCAGGACTGGAGGCAAAAAACAGTCACTGTTCTTCAAATTCATTCGAGTTTATCCCTCATTCATCCAATCTTACATGTCAAAGTACTACCACTGCTAAAAGCCAAAGACCAAGAGGTCTAACAACTTTTCCTCCATGCCAGTTAGTAGTCAATACTGCTGCCTGAGTAGTTCCATGTTTTGCAGAGCAAATAAGTAATGAAAGTGTTCATAGTGAGTAGTGTATTTTAAAATCCAACTTTGAAAACTGGGTTTACATTTCCCCTTAGAGTTGCAACTGCTCATCAATTCATTAAAATTAACCGTCAATAAAGGACATGCCTGTTCTTGCACTTAACTTGTTACAACATACTGGTTCCAAGCTATTTCTATATCAATTATTTGTTTACATGTTGTACTGGATACTAAATAAACATGGATAATGTAACTCACTTACATAAATACTGCATCTTTTTCCACAACAACAGCTGGTACATTAAAAGGAAATCCATATAATTTCTGAACTATATATTTATACACTAAATCAGTATTTTTATTTTCCTTTACTGAAGTGTAAATGAGTGCTGCCCCATCTGAGTACATTTGTTAAAGAAAAGCAAGAACCAAAAAGGCTGTTAAACAAGTTAGACTGACTTTTTTAGAACTGCTTCAGAATTGAAATTTGATAACTCTACTTCCAGCACCATCACCTCTACAAACTCATTTAAACAGAGATACAAAATGTTGTAATTTGTTTGTCTTGCCCCACACCCCCACAAGAAAACACACAGTATAGTCATCAGCATTAAAAGGATTGGGGGGGGGGGGAGGAGAAATGCTGGTATCTTCAGAACTGTCAACTGAGGCTCTAGCTGTTAAAACTCATTTGATTCCTCTCATAATGTGCTTAAAATGGAAGACAAGACAGTTATGCCCTATAAAGTGAAGTCCTTTGGAATCTAGGGCTTAGTTTGTTTAAATTTAAATGAGAATTCTTCGAACAGCTGGATGCTGGCCCTTACATCTTTTTTTTTTTTTCTCCCAGATAATGAAATCTATACAGGCAGTCCTCTTAAGATCCACTTAAGTCGTGGTTTTCAGGAACCAATTAAGTCGAAACGTTGCAACTCGGAACTAATTTTCTCATAAGAAACAATGTTATAAATGGTGGACTGGTTCCTGAACCAAGGCCTGATACCCTATTTTCACCAGAAATACCCCAGAATTTTGTACTTGATCAATTATAGATGAGTAATATAGCTACATTCATGTACTTATATTGTAAATAACAATCATATTGATTTGGAAGGACTTCTTTGAGGTGACTTTGCTGGACTTTGGCTGGAGTCTTCTTAGGCGTCTTGGCTGTAGGTTTTTCTGGAGTCTTGTCTGCTTTCTTAAACAAAGGTGTCCAAGGAAGTTTGGACAGATGTTCTCAAGGGAAACAAGTGACACAGCGAACTTGCTCACTAGCATGGCATTGCATTGGATCAAGCATTATAAAGTTGAAACTGATATCATAAAGTTGAAACAGGGTGTCAATTTATAAACGTAAGTGCGAAACATTGTAAACCAAAACGTTGCATATCGAGGACTGCCTGTTTAAAAGATTAGCATAAAATAGTGTTGCAATTCTAACAGAATCAAGAGGTGGCCTGAGAAATTGAGAACTATTCTCTGGGATTAGAAGCTAAGTGTCACTAAATTAAATTAGAAGTGCATTGCAGCATATGAAACTCTACTGTTTTTCATAACTGCTAGGCATATATACACACACACACCCACCCACCCACCCACCCAGTGGAATCTGACATTCACTTGAGGAATTTAAGTTTAATATGCAAATTAATCTTGTACACACTAGAACACTGTTTCATTGACTAGATGCCATTTTTTTCTTTCTTTTGTTTCACCCACCTGTAGTCTCTTACCCTGGATCCTAGTTCTGCAACCAAGCATGCCAAGTCTCAGCTGCAAGACTGGGAGCCTAAGGTTGAAAACTAGCAAGTTGGGCATTGTTCCAAGCCTGATTAGTGCTTCAGATTTTTTTTCCAACTGTATGTTATTCTTTTCTATAGTCTTTCTAGTCTAAAGCAGTGGCAGGCTGGATGGGTAGTGCTTATTCCATCCATGGGCTGGATCCAGCTGGTGGCTGCGATCTAGTGCCCAAAGCGGGTGTGGCAAGGCCCCATCCAACAGCGGTTGATAACCCCAACCAGGCCCTGCTGGGAGTGGGGAGGGTGGTAATGGCATGTCCCAGCCCTAACCCCCGCTATGCAGATGGAAGAGAGCATGACACAGGCTTTGATCTGCTGCAGGGCTTGGATTTTAGGAATTCAGAATGGGAAGGTGGTCATTAGTACCTGCTGTTCCCTCGCTGCCAAATTTTGACCACTCAGAGCCCTGCAGGCCAGAGGTTGAGTACCCCTGGTCTAAAGAAATTCTCTTTAAATTTTCTTTTTGCTGTAGTGCTAGTCAGAAGTATAGTCTAGGGCACTGGATATTTTAAGATGCCACTAGCATTTTAAAACATCATTTAGACCTTCTCTCAACAAGGTCAGATGACTATACAATGCTGATTTACAGTACTTTTACTGGTATTTGAACAAATGCAAGAATAGCAATAGCTTGTACAAGGACATCATGTACATGTGCCCAAAGGAAATAAAGTCAATTGATCTTTCCCTGCAGCACTTTTCAATTTTGTGCCTTTCCATTACACCCCTTGCCTTTTATTTATTAAGATTTACAGAACCGTATTGCAAAGAATTGGAACCACTGTCAGGTCAAAATGAATGATATGCCTTACAGCTGTATAGAATTATATATAAATTCTTGGGGTGGTACGTTACCATTTCAGGGAATACCTTAAAATCCAAGTTTAGTGGCCTCCTGGTCCTTAAATTACCTGATCAACAGGGAACCAGGTTTTCCATTTCCCATGGAAGAAAAGCGGAGAAAACCATGGATTCCCTGTTTTTAAATTGGAGAGAATGCAGATTTCCCCTTTTAGCAGAGAAATCCGCCAATGCTCTGCTTTTGCAGTTATTGCAGGCCAGCACAGTTCCAGCTTGCAAGAGCTTGTTGCAGAAAGGGCAGGAAACCCCCAGCCCTGCCCAGAGGAAGAGGAGGAAGGGTGGGGCCTGAGCCTCTGAGTCAGCCACAGCAGGGCTCAGGCTCGCCCTTTGCCCCTGGAGGTAAGTGGAGGTAAGGGGATGCTCCAAGCGCCACTGCCCCCAAGCAGCACATCCCAGCATCTCCCGTCCCCCCACCTCAGGCCACTCCCAGAAGCAGGGCTGGGGGCCAAGGGCAGGGGTTCCTTTCTGCAAGCCACACGTGCTAGCCAGCCAAAGGGGTTTGCACATAGTGGCTGCCACCGCACTGCCACCACCATGCCCCATGCTGCCTTCCTGCAGCCGGCTGCACAGCTTTGCAGGCAAGCAGCAGAGCATTGACAGTGCAGTGGCGGCCACCATGTGCGGGGCGCACACATGCTACCTTGTTGGTTGGCTGGTGGAGGAGGTGGCTTGCGTGCAGTGGCCACCACTGCACCACCACTACCGCCCTCCGGCCAGCCAGTTGGCTCCATGGGCATGGCTCTGCAGCAGCATCGACAGTAGCTCTGTGCCAGCTGGGAGGTGCTCGTACACGGCAGCCATAACTGTTTGCCTGTAGAGTTGTGTGGCTAGTTGCGAGGCGGCAGCAGCACATGAGCCGCCGTCCCCCCAACCACACACTTACCTTCTAGGATGGGTACCTGTGTCTGTGTGGGGCTGGGGAGCTGTCATGTGAGTGAGGGGCATCAGGAGGGCTGAGAAGGCTGGGGGAGGGGAAAGTGAGGCAGACCTTTAAATTTTAAATCAAATCATGGATTTTGGGTTTTAAAAATTTTAAAATCAAAGAAAACCAGGATCCCTGCTGATCAGGAAAGGGATATTGAAAGGAAGTCAGAGAAACCATAAGGGAGGCAGCATACAAGATTTGTTCCATTACCCTGTAAAAAAAGATCACAGTAATTTATAATACCAAGGAAGCAAACTGGACATGGCCTAGTATACCAGAATCTAGTTCTATTTAAAATAGTTCCTAACTAGTCTCAGGCTAATTTCTAGAAGAAATGTGTTAACATTGTATGAAAACTGGTTGTAATTTGCACACTTAAGATTACAGGATATGCAATTTTTCTCTTTACATTTTGAATATTAAAAGGATACACTGTAAACAAAACCGTCGAATATGTGACTGAATGAAGTCGAAGTGCTCATCTCTGTAATCATGTTCTTTTTCCAGGACACTAATGGCATCACACTGTCAAGTTAAACACAAGTAGTGTTGCACATTAAGCACCTTATTAAATTAGCACCATCACTTCTCATCTTGAAGTAAAAAAAACTGTCAAAATACTTTTATATAACAATTCAAAGAAGCATAATGGAACACATCAAGAATCCCATTTTGAGTAAACTCCCTGCAGGGTAGTTTTAAACAGTGCAGTATCACGGCCACAAGATTATCTGGGCAGAAAAATAATTTACCCATGATGAGTAAAAGGCAGAACCATAGATAACTACCATGGCAGTACCACCTATTGCAAGAGAAGAAAGATCAAAGAAGCACCCCAACAACTGAGGAATAATCAATGCAGAAAGCACCCAAATGATTAACAACCACTCCCCCCACTAACTATTTACCATCTCTGATAAGACTGCGTATTATTATTTCTTTAAACTTAGTTGATTTATTTAAAGAGAAATTCTACAAAGGCCATAAATTGGATGACATTTCTGTTCACTATGTCATATTTATTTTGGAATGTATGTTACAGACCTGCTTCTGTTGATACGCCCATCAGTAATTCACATAGACTAGTAAGACAAATTCCACAGCTACCTTTTGTCCACACAAAGCCACTTCCAATTTGACATGATTTTATCCTCATCTATTTTCTCTTCCTGTACAGTAAGAGTTCTTTTCTCTACAACTGCCATTATGTTTTGAATATATTGGAAGTTTAAATAAAATAGCACCCCAACATCCAGACATTTATTGATCAGTTTTAATGCTCAGAATAGTGTTGGTCTGTTCCAGGAGAAGAGTTTAATTAGCTCTCCCACCCCCAAAAAAGAGGTTTTTTTAAAGCATACGTACAAACAAACCATTTCAGAGTCAGCATGCTTTCTCCAGTTTAAAGGTATTTCCGCCTCAAATCCACACCTGCCAATTTGTTTTAATTAAAATATTCAAAAATTAAAAGTCTGAAACAAACCTTTGTACAAACTATTACTACTGGAATGCCTAAATTGCATGTTAATGTATCTGCACCCAGAGGTAAAATCACGCTGTCATCTTTGTCTTCCTGTAACGAAGTATTTCTTCTCTGTGGAGAAGCTGGAAAGTCCTCTCCTGGTTCTATATATTCCTGGAAGTCTCTTACCACTGAAAGGAAAAGAAAAAAGAAGAGCGG